TTATCCCCCCCCCCCCCCTCCTGACCAGCCCATTTTTTGCGATAAGGCGCTGCATTACTTTAACTGACAGTTGCGCGGTCGTACAACGCTGTGCTCAAATTAAATTTACTTCCTTTTTTCCCACGAATTGAGCTTTCTTTTGGTAGTATTTGATCAAAAAATGAAAATGTGATTTGCATGGTATTAACCCCTTGCCCTCCAGAGGATTTTCCACCCCTTCAAAAACTGTAGCTGCTGACTGTAAAAAAACAGCCACTTACCTGTCTCTCGGTCTCGGTGTGCTCTGGCAACCGGCCGTCCTGTGTTCCTGGCGCTACCATTTTCAGTACGGTCACCCAGCTGTGACAGCTTGCAGTTTCACAGCCGGGTGCCCAATGCACATGCGCAAGTAGCACTGTGCTTTCTGAATGGTTCTGTCATGTGTCCCAGAAGACTACGGGGAGGGGGGAGACAACTTCTGCATCCGGCTGCCTAGGTGATGGCAGCAAAAGTGGGAGCGGGTACCTGTCAATTTCGAGTTACCTGCTCCCCCCTGCTCCCTAGAGGTGACAATCCTTAACGGGGAGCAGGGGACCAGTCAGTAAAGCAGAACTTCCCCTTTTGAGTGGAGCTCCACTTTAAGAGGATAATGTGCTAGTAGGCGTCGCATGAACAATAAATGACTTACCTGAAAATGAAGCCCTCCAGCGAAGTGTCGTCCTGGCTCCCAGGATTCCATCTTCACCCAATCTTCCTTCCAGGTTTGCGAGTTGCAGCCATCTGATTGGCCGAGCCGCAATGTCATCACTCCCGTCATGCACAAAGGGAGTTTCAGCCGTGGCGTGTCTCTCTCTCTGTTTCTGGATGGCACGCCGTCCATTGAGAGCTCAGTGCACATGCGTTGGGAGAGGACTGAGTGAGTAATGCTACACCCCTGGGCCAGCTAAGGGGAGAGGCCAGTCAAATGGCAAACCCAACTAGCTCCTCAGTGGGGGGCTGCTTTGCTAAAGTGGCAGTTTCTGTATACCCTTGCCCAGGGATTCCCTCAGGCAGCTGGGATTTGCGGTGGTACACCAGGGGGGCTGGAGAGCTCTTCTGTAAGAGACTTTTGTCTAAGGACTTGTACATAGTTGCTGTAATGGACCCCAGACACCCACGACTGGGTATCTCCATCAAGAAGCTGCTTCTCAGGCTCTGGAACACGAGACCAGTGAGTCTAGCTATTGTTACCCCAAGATCCAGACGACACCAGATTTGAAGTAAGCCAGAGGTAGACTAGTTTATTTGAACACAGATACAGGATATATACACTCAGGGGACAATCCCCCCTCCCTGCATAATGACACAGGGTGGGGCAATCTACATTTAGTAACAAGAGACACACAGGTATTTAAACTTCACACCAGCAGACAGTCCCATCAGGAGGGAGGGCTGCTGGAGACACCCCCCACACTAAGCTAATACACATAAACACATACATCCCATAATAGTTTGCTCCCAAACCGGACAAACAATAGAACAATGGGATGCAGCCACATAACATCAAACAATCCACAACCCCCCCCCCACCTATCTCTTAGACATGTATACCCAATACTAGGACAGATCACCCTGTACCCCTAACAGGCACAGGGTGACTTACACATAAGAGGGATATGGGAAGGTGAGACATGGGTCTCCTCACCTCTCCAAAGTGAGCTGTGTTCCATGGGCCCCCCACCCAAAGTGACTCCCGTCACAGTTGCTACGGAGTTTGTCCTCATGATTGCAGTTTCCTTGGGCAGCCCATACATCCCTTAACCCAGTGTTTCTCAACTCCAGTCCTCATGGACCCCCAACAGGTCATGTTTTCAGGATTTCCATTATTTTGCACAGGTGATTTGATCAGTTTCACTGCCTTAGTAATTACCACAGCTGTTTCATCTGAGGGAAATCCTGAAAACATGACCTGTTGGGGGTCCATGAGGACTGGAGTTGAGAAACACTGCCTTAACCCCATCTAAGCTCAAGACCCTTAATAAAAAAAAAAAAAAGCTCAAGGATTGTCTACTGACTCGATTGTGCAAGGTCTGAAGAAAGTGCGTGTTTATCAGGGGGACTATCAGGGGACCCAAAAACTCAGTGACTCCAAAGGGGGCAGTGCTACAATTGGAATGATCACCATTTTATTTTCAAGGGCCTCTGCTAAAAAAACATATAATGTTTGGGGGTGCTAAGTCATTTTCAAGCAAAAAATGCTGATTTTTTTTTTACTTGTGCCCATATAGTGTCAGAATAGGCCTGGTCTTCGAGTGGATAGAACAGAAACGGTGGCAGGCAATTGGAGATCTCCATAAGATGTGATCATCAAATTCAGAGTGTAGGCACCAATCACTACGATTAAAGGCAAAGGAGAAGTAAAGCTTTGAGGACACGTAGACCCTACAGACGAGTCATTATGACTGCTCAAAATGATTTTTTTTCCACTTGACTGACATATCCCTTTAAAGCACCGGAATGCGTTTGCCGCCTTGTGACCTTCCGACTTCTATTGGTATTGACTCGGCTGTTCTGCTGTCATGAGGGATATTGCTAAATCTTCCCATTCTGGAGCCGGTTGAATATATCATTGAGATGGAGGTCTCCAATCTCTCGCGCTCTTCACCATCTCCTGGGCTCATTATCCAAGTTGTCACTCCGCGAAGAGCGAGACCTTTCTCCATGCGATCACGAATCCCGTCAACATATGACAAAAATACCATTCAGAGGGATGAGGAATAATGGATTGCCGATGGATTTGACAACATAAGCCTCCGAGCTAATAGCAAAATCTCAATGATGACTTTGAATGTCAAAAATTCAGTTCACACCGTGTCTCCGGATTGTGTTATTAGAGGGAATAGTATATAATTCCAAGGTGTTACATCTCTCTTGCTCTAAAACAACCCTTGTCTTCAGAAAAATCAACTTCCAATGTGGTTCTCCAGCACAAATAGGAAAATGAAGATGGTTAGTTATTGTGCTTGACATCAGACTTGATATCCCTTAAACTGGACCTAGCATCACATACGCCAATCGGTTGTAACTTTATGAGAACCCACCTAATATTGAGCAGATCCCCCTTTTGTTACCAAAACAGCCTTGACCCGATGAGGCATGGACTCCACTAGAACTCTGAAGGTATGCAGTGGTATCTGGCACCAAGCAGTCAGTAGCAGAACATTGTATAAGTGCCCAGTAGGCAAGTGGTTATGTCCTAAAAGTTGAAAAGTGGGGCCTCCATGGTTCGTACTTGTTGCTCCAGTGCATCCCGAGATGCTCAATTGTACTGAGATCTGGAGAATTTGGAAGCCAAATCAGAACCTCAAACTTGTTGCTGTGTTCTTCAAACCATTTTTTCAGAGTGCTGAAAGAGACCACTGCCATCAGAGAAGACTGTTTCTATGAAGGGGTGGACTTGGTCACCAACAATGTTTAGGTAGGTGGTACGTGTCAAGTAACACCCACATGAATGGCAGGAGCCAAGGTTTCCCAGCAGAACATTGCCCAAAGCATCACACTGCCTCCGCTGGCTTGTCATCTTTCCATACTGCATCCTGGTGTCATCTCTTCCCCAGGTAAGTGACGCACAAATCCACATGATGTAAAAGAAAATGTGATTCATCAGACCAGACCACCTTCTTCCACTGCTGTGTGGTCCATTTCTGATGTATGGGTGTTATTGCATAGTCGTATTGGTTCAGCTTGGATCAAGGTACACATACCATTTTGATCCCCAACCATAACCCATAGAGGCATGGACCCAACTAAACCTCTGAAGGTATGCTTTGGTATCTGGCACCAAGCCATCAGTAGCAGATCCTTTAAGTCTTGTAAGCAGAGAGGTGGTGCCTCCATGGGTTGGACTTGTTTTTCTAGAACATCTCACAAATGCTGGATTAGATTGAGATCTGGCCAAGTCAACACCTTGAATTCCTTATTGTGTTCTTCAAACCATTCTTGAATTCATCAGACCAGGCCACCTTCTTCCACTGCTCTGTGGTCCATTTCTGATGTTGATGTATGGGTGTTATTGCATAGTTGTATTGGTTCAGCTTGGATCGAAATACACATACCATTTTGATCCCCAACCATAACCCATAGAGGCATGGACTCCACTAAACCTCTGAAGGTATGCTTTGGTATCTGGCACCAAGCCATCAGTAGCAGATCCTTTAAGTCCTGTAAGCTGAGAGGTGGAGCCTCCATGGGTTGGACTTGTTTTTCTAGAACATCTCACAGATGCTGGATTAGATTGAGATCTGGCCAGGTCAACACCTTGAATTCCTTGTTGTGTTCTTCAAACCATTCTTGAATTCATCAGACCAGGCCACCTTCTTCCATTGCTCCATGGTCCAGTTTTGAGGCTCACGTGCCCATTGTAGGCCCTTTTGGTTATGGACACGGGTCAGCACGGGCACCCCGACAGGTCTTCAGCCACACAGCCCCATACAAAATAAACTGCAATAATCTCAGAACCCCTCAGTTACAAACCAAGGAGACAATGAAAGTCCTTTCCAATGATATTGCTGGACTGTTTGATATTGATGGTGTATCCTCAATATTTCATTATGCTTGAAGCATTCTTATGTAGGCAATGGGATGTTAAGGTACCAATACATAAGAACACACTCACAGAAACTATATTAAAAATCTAAAGACTTTTATTCTTGTTCACATAAAAATATCTCTAGAGTAGTACTTAATGAGATAAAGTGCCATTACAAAGATCTTATTTATATTCTGCAAATATACTGTAATGAGAACAATATCCTCCAATTAACTCCAGGCCTATTGCTGGGCTTATAGAAAATACATCCACTTGTTGATATTCAGATTCAATTATCATCTCATTTTCAGGCCCATGGCTGCAGAGGGAAGACACGACTTCACAATGCGTTATTGATATTAAATCTGTGGCAACCCACAGAGAAGGGGCGTCATCCCTCTAAATCATTGGAATCTTAGGGCTCCTCCAGAGGTTTTCAGGGGGTCCTTGGGCAATGAGCAATTTATTACTTTCACATATGTAACCACATACACCAATGATAGCTACAGTATCTGTAAGGAAGGCATTCTTCCCACTGACCACCAATGTAAGGGACATTCTTCCCACTGACCACCAAATGTAAGGGACATTCTTCCCACTGACCCCCAATGTAAGGGACATTCTTCCCACTGACCCCCAATGTAAGGGACATTCTTCCCACTGACCCCCAATGTAAGGGACATTCTTCCCACTGACCACCAATGTAAGGAACATTCTTCCCACTGACCCCCAATGTAAGGGACATTCTTCCCACTGACCCCCAATGTAAGGGACATTCTTCCCACTGACCACCAATGTAAGGAACATTCTTCCCACTGACCCCCAATGTAAGGGACATTCTTCCCACTGATCACCAATGTAAGGGGCAGGGGCGGACTGACAACTCATGGGGCCCCTGGGCAATAGGGGATCATGGGGCCCCTGTGTCCTTGCCCAAATTCAAAAAAGCCTATGAAAAAGGTACCAGGGGCATCTCATGGGGCCCCTACTGACCCCAGGCCCTCAGGCAGTGCCCGAGTTTCCAAATGGTCAGTCCACCCCTGGTAAGGGGACATTCTTCCCACTGATCCACCAATGTAAGGGACATTCTTCCCACTGACCTCCAATGTAAGGAACATTCTTCCCACTGACCACCAATGTAAGGGACATTCTTCCCACTGACCCCCCAATGTAAGGGACATTCTTCCCACTAACCCCCAATGTAAGGGACATTCTTCCCACTGATCACCAATGTAAGGGACATTCTTCCCACTGACCCCCAATGTAAGGAGCATTCTTCCCACTGACCCCCAATGTAAGGGACATTCTTCCCACTGACCACCAATGTAAGGGACATTCTTCCCACTGACCACCAATGTAAGGGACATTCTTCCCACTGACCCCCAATGTAAGGGACATTCTTCCCACTGATCACCAATGTAAGGGACATTCTTCCCACTGACCACCAATGTAAGGGACATTCTTCCCACTGACCACCAATGTAAGGGACATTCTTCCCACTGACCTCCAATGTAAGGGACATTCTTCTCACTGACCACCAATGTAAGGGACATTCTTCCCACCGACCCCCAATGCAAGGGACATTCTTCCCACTGACCCCCAATGTAAGGGACATTTTTCCCACTGATCACCAATGTAAGGGGCAGGGGCGGACTGACAACTCATGGGGCCCCCGGGCAATAGGGGATCATGGAGCCCCTGTATCCTGCCCAAATTCAAAAAAGCCTATGAAAAAGGTACCAGGGGCATCTCATGGGGCCCCCTACTGACCCCGGGCCCTCGGGCAGTGCCCGAGTTTTCAAATGGTCAGTCCGCCCCTGGTAGGGGACATTCTTCCCATTGATCCACCAATGTAAGGGACATTCTTCCCACTGACCACCAATGTAAGGGACATTCTTCCCACTGACCCCCAATGTAAGGAGCATTCTTCCCACTGACCCCCAATGTAAGGGATATTCTTCCCACTGACCCCCAATGTAAGGGACATTCTTCCCACTGACCCCCAATGTAAGGGACATTCTTCCCACTGACCCCCAATGTAAGGGACATTCTTCCCACTGACCCCCAATGTAAGGGACATTCTTCCCACTGACCACCAATGTAAGGGACATTCTTCCCACTGACCCCCAATGTAAGGGACATTCTTCCCACCCACTGACCCCCACCAATGTAAGGGACAGTCTTCCCACTGACCCCCAATGTAAGGGACATTCTTCCCACTGACCCCCAATGTAAGGGACATTCTTCCCACTGACCACCAATGTAAGGGACATTCTTCCCACTGATCACCAATGTAAGGGGCATTCTTCCACTGACCCCCAATGTAAGGGACATTCTTCCCACTGATCCCCAATGTAAGGGACATTCTTCCCACTGAGGATGTCTCCATTGCTCCTCCAGTGGAGTGGAGACACAAGGAGGTGTGTTACTGATCAGGTCACCAGGTGAACACAGAGTGGAAAAAAAACACCTATAAAAAGAAAACGAATGCAGCCGCCACATCTAATGATTGGCAAGCGGCCATATGACATTTTTGCTTTTGGGTTCAATACAGCCTCTAAAGTCGCGTTCCCTGAATAATTCTGTGTATGATGAGCAGAGATTCACCTTAAAGTGAGATTTCCCTGTAATTGAAGGAGCACAGAGTCGGCCTCCGTCGGTACGTTTTGCACTCGGCGCAGGTTTGGAAACACTTTGCATGTGTATTGGGAACCCTCCTGACAGCGTCCTTAGCATTTCAGGAGGATAATTTTGATGTGGGCACAATTCTTTTCATGGGGAGAATTAAATCTCTGACTTCTAATGACCCGCTAATGTAAACAAATCATTCCCGCGGAGGACTCGGCCACCGATGGCGGCATTACCATACGTCAATCGGCACACAATAGGCACGTCTGCCACCCCGGAGTGATGAGAAGACAAAGCCGGTGACGAGGAGATGAATACGTGTTAAATATGGATTGTTGGCTCTTTTTATAGGTTGGGTCCTCGAAGTCTCGGCGGCGGGATTGGCGGCGCAGCGGCTTTGGAAGTTAATATGGATGACTCACGATAATTCCTCCTTTCTTTTTCGGCAAAGAATTAATAACTCAATAACTCAGGAGCATCAAAAGGAAGATCTAGATGATCAGAATTAATAATGAATAGGAACTTATTAAAATGAAACACCTTCTTCATAGGAAAAAAAAAAAAGAAAGAAAGAAAGAAAGAAAGAAAGAAAGAAAGAAAGAAAGAAAGAAAGAAAGAAAGAAAGAAAGAAAGAAAAAAGAAAGAGAGAGAGAAATGAAGGAAGGAAGAAAGAAAGAAAAGAAAGAAAGAAAGAAAGAAAGAAAGAAAGAAAGAGAGAGAGAGATAGAAGGAGAGAGGGAGAGAGAGAGGAGAGAGAGAGAGAAGAAGAAAAAGAGAGAGAGAGCGAGAGGGGGGGGGGGAGGGAGAGAGAGAGAGATGGGGGGGGGGAGAAAGAAAAAGAAAGAGAAAGGGAGGAAGAAAGAAAGAAAGAGAAAGAAAGAAAGAAAAAAGAGAGAGATAGAGGGGGGAGAGAGAGAGAGAGAGGGGGGGGAGAGATGGGGGGGGAAAGGAAGATGGGGAGAGAGAGAGAAAGAAGGGAAAAAAAAAGAAGGGAAAGAAGAGAGAAAGGAAGGAAAAAGAGAGAGAGAGAAAGAAAGAGAGAGAGAGAGGGGGGGAGAGAGAGAGAGAGAAGAGAGAGAGAGAGAGAGAGAGAGAAAGATGGGGGAGAAGAGAAAGAAGAAAGAAAGAAAGAAAGAAAGAAAGAAAGAAAGAAAGAAAGAAAGAAAGAAAGAAAGAAAAAAGAAAGAGAGAGAGAAAGGACGGAAGAAAGAAAGAGAGAGAGAGAGAGAGGGGGGGGGAGAGAGGGGGGGAGAGAGGGGGAGAGAGAGAGATAGAGAGGGGGGGAGAAAGAGGGAAGGAAGGAAGGAAGGAAGGAAGAAGAAAGAAAGAAAGAAAGAAAGAAAGAAAGAAAGAAAGAAAGAAAGAGAGGGGGGGGGGGGAGAGAGAGATAGAGGGGGGGGGGGGGGGAGAGGGAGAGAGGGAGAGAGAGGGGAGAGAGAGAGAGAGGGGGAGGGAAGAAAGAAAGAAAGAAAGAAAGAAAGAACAAGAAAGAGAGAAAGAGAGAGAGAGAAAGGAGGAAAGGAAGGAAGGAATTAAGGAAGGAAGAAGAAAGAAAGAAAGAAAGAAAGAAAGAAAGATGCTTCGTAAAGCTCCTCCAGGAGTGGAGAGTCACAAGTTATAGCACATTCCAAAAATGATTCCTCCTGTGAAGCTGCATTTGTTCTGTGCAAATGGTTCAAAATCGAATCTTAATAGGTTATTCCCATATGGAAGAGAAATATATTTTCAATACATTTAGAAAAAATAAATGATACATGCAACATATATTTACAATATATTGGCCTACACGAATATATTTTAACATGTATTCCAAAAATGTAAATGAAAATATATTTTCCAAAAGGCATACATTTAAAAATATATTTTTCAAAGTATATTTTCCAGATATTTTTTTTTTAAAATGCATTTAAACATAGATTTTTAAATATACTTGTAAATGCATTCCAAATGACACTTTGATATACATTGCGGCGTGTGTTCTGAATATATTTTTAATATATATTGAATACGGCCACAATTGTAGTATTTAAAATATATGTCAATATATTTGGGAAGAATATATTAAGAATGTATTTTTAAAATATATTTTTCTTTCATGGGGGTTTTTTCACTAGGTTGACTGTTATTCATCCATATAGAACATTGGTCTCCAAACTGCGGCCCGGGGGCTGGATGTGGCCCTCTGCATGCCTTAATCTGGCCCTTGGGCACTATTCCACCAACTGACACCAATGATGGAGCTCCATTATTGAACCATCAATGGTGTACCCCACATGGAAGAAAAATATATTTTAAATATTTTTTTTTAAATATTCTTCCCAAATATATTGACATATATTTGAAATGCTATAATTTTGGCCATATTCAATATATATATATATATTTATGGACCTTGCTTTGTGCACTGGTGGGCAGTCATGTTGGAACAGGAAGGGGCCATCCCCAAACTCTTCCCACAAAGTTGGGAGCATGAAATTGTCCAAAATGTCGCCTTAAAGACTTCCCTTCACTGGAACTAGGAGGCCAAGTCCAACCCCTGAAAAACACCCCCACACCATAATCCCCCCTCCCACCAAACTTTACACTTGGTACAATGCCGTCGGGCAAGTACTGTTCTCCTGGCAACCGCCAAACCCAGACACGTCCATCGGATTGCCAGACAGAGAAGCTTGATTGGTCACTCCAGAGAACACATCTCTATTACTCTAGAGTCCAGTGGCGGCGTGCTTTACACCACGGCATCCGACACTTTGCATTGCACTTGGTGATGGAAGGCTTAGATGCAGCTGCTCGGCCATGGAAACCCATTCCATGAAGCTCTCTACGCACTGTTGTTGGGCTCATCTGAAGGCCACACCAAGTTTGGAGGTCTTTAGCTATTGACTCTGCAGACAGTTGGCGACTTCTGCGCACTGTGCGCTTCAGCATGCGCTGACCCCGCCCTGTCATGTGATGTGGCCTACCACTTGGTGGCTGAGTGGCTGTTGTTCCCAGTTGCTTCCACTTTATAATCCCACTAACAGTTGAGCGAATATTTGGAATATTTAGTAGCCAGGAAATGTCACGGATGGACTTATTGCCCAGGTGACCACCTATCACGGGACCACGCTTGGAGTCACTGAGCTCCTGAGAGCGACCCATTCTTTCACCAATGTTTGTAGAAGCAGTCTGCATGCCTAGGGACTTGATTGTATACACCTGTGTCCATGGAGGGGATTGGAGCACCTGAATCACATGATTTGGGGGCGGGGACAATACTTTGGGCAATATAGTGCACATTTAGGGTCTCCATTTCAAGTGCAGTATCATGTGACAAGAGAGCACTGTCACGCTAGAAGCACAGTTTCCTAGAGTAAGCTGCATGACATTCACACCCAACTAAACAGAATGATTAAATTCGCTTTCAGGGGTTGCTTTCCTCCAAGCTGGCATTTGCTGCTACTGTCATGTCCTCATCATAACAGGTTTCAGATCTTCTTGAGTCCAATTTGGGACTAGATTGGGTAGGCCATAAATCCCGTCTTTCTCAAGTAACGATTTATTTTCATTCCTTGGAAAATCAATGAACAAAGCCGTCATAAATTGTTCATTTTCATTTTGCAAATTCACTTCAAGGGCAAAAGAGCGCGGAGGAGGGCAAGGGGAATATAATCTGATGATAAATTCCCAAGACCCCGGCTGACGCACTTTGTTTTCTGATCGATGCCGCCAAGGAGGTTTCTAATCTGTGTTCTCTATTCAGCCCAGAAATGCACTCCGGCTTGTTATCTGTCTGGAAGAGCGCGTAACACATGTCAAATGCCTATCATCACTGGGACCGACTCTCACGAAGAAACACTTTATTATCCAACTTGCTTAAAATGTAACTCCAGACCGGAGGCTGAACACACAGCTGAGATGGACAAATGGCAATCGGATGATCTGGCAAGGGTTTCTGAAGGCTACATTACACCTATCACATACCAGGTGAAGACTAAGGATGAAACAAGCCTCGGCCTGAACCCAACTGAAACTGTCACATGACAGCAGCCCACCATCCCAATCAGCTGCAGCCATGGAATCCTAACCCCCCCAGATGCCAAAAGAGGCCAATGATATCACCAGCTTCCCCGTCTCTTTGTTATATGCAGCTGTGGACAGGGAATTCCTAATTTGGCCACATCTGGACAATGTCATTGTCCAAATGGGGCCATGAGGCCATATTAGGTCAATGATGTTATCAGCATCCCCGCCCCTTTGTTTCATGGAATTCCCTGCCCACAGCTGCACATAACAAAGGGAAGGAGATGCTGGTGAGATCATTGACCTATTTTGGCCACATGGCCATATTTGAACACTGTCATTGGCTAAATGGGGCCATGTGGCCATATTAGGTCAGTTATGTCATCGGCATTCCCTGACATGTTCTGGAATTCCTCACCACATAGCCACACATAACAAAAAGCTTGGGATGCTGGTGGCATCATTAACCCAATATGACCACATGGTCAAATTTGGTCAACAACATTGGCTAAATATGGCCACATGGCTATATTAGGTCAATGATGTCATCAGCATCCCCGCCCCTTTGTTTTGCAGAATTTCTTGTCCAGCAGCCACGTGGAACAAAGAAGCGGGATGCTGGTGACATCATTGACCTAATATGGCCACATGGTCAAATTTGGTCAACAACATTGACTAAATATGGCCACGTGGCTATTCTAGGTCAATGATTTCATCAGCATCCCCGCCCCTTTGTTTCATGGAATTCCCTGCACACAGCTGCACATAACAAAGGGAAGGAGATGCTGGTGAGATCATTGACCTATTTTGGCCACATGGCCATATTTGAAAACTGTCATTGGCTAAATGGGGCCATGTGGCCATATTAGGTCAGTTATGTCATCGGCATCCCTGACATGTCCTGGAATTCCTCACCACATAGCCACACATAACAAAAAGCTTGGGATGCTGGTGGCATCATTAACCCAATATGACCACATGGTCAAATTTGGTCAACAACATTGGCTAAATATGGCCACATGGCTATATTAGGTCAATGATGTCATCAGCATCCCCGCCCCTTTGTTTTGCAGAATTTCTTGACCAGCAGCCACGTGGAACAAAGAAGCGGGATGCTGGTGACATCATTGACCTAATATGGCCACATGGTCAAATTTGGTCAACAACATTGACTAAATATGGCCACGTGGCTATTCTAGGTCAATGATTTCATCAGCATCCCCGCCCCTTTGTTTCATGGAATTCCCTGCCCACAGCTGCACATAACAAAGGGAAGGAGATGCTGGTGAGATCATTGACCTATTTTGGCCACATTTGAACACTGTCATCGGCGAAATGGTTCCATGTGGCCATATTAGGTCAGTTATGTCATCGGCATCCCTGACATGTTGTGGAATTCCTCACCCCATAGCCACACATAACAAAAAGCTTGGGATGCGGGTGACATCATTAACCCAATATGACCACATGGCTATATTAGGTCAATGATGTCATCAGCATCCCCGCCCCTTTGTTTCATGGAATTCCCTGCCCACAGCTGCACATAACAAAGGGAAGGGGATGCTGGTGAGATCATTGACCTATTTTGGCCACATGGCCATATTTGCACACTGTCATTGGCCAAATGGGGCCATGTGGCCATATTAGGTCAGCTATGTCATTGGCATCCCTGACATGTTTTGGAACTCCTCAGCCCATAGCCACATATAACAAAGAGCTTGGGATACTGGTGGCCAGTTCTGGGAGGCCGTGCACCCGGCAATCTCCGTGATCACTGTGTCCTACGGACACAGCTGATCTAGTGATGTGGTCAAAGGTCAATCACAGCGGGCTTTTACCACGTGATCAGCCGTGTCCAATGACACACTGATCACTGGGAAATGCAATTGCTGGTTCTCGGCTGCACTTTCCTCACGCTGTCAGAGCGTGAGGAAAGTACTGCCGAGAACCGGCAGTTGTCAGAGAAGGGATTGGCACCGATCATCAGTGCCCTGATGATCGGTGCCCAGCAGTGCCGCCCACTAGTTCTGCCCAGCAGTGACACCCACCTGTGCCCATCAGTGCCCACCAGTGTCACCCACCAGTGCACATCAGTGCCGCCCATCAGTGCCCAGCAGTGCCGCCAGTCAGTGCTGCCTATCAGTGCCGACTATCAGTGCCACCTCATTAGTGCTCCCTATCAGTGCCGCCTATCAGTGCCCATCAGTGCCGATCAGTGCCGCCTATCAGTGCCCATCAGTGCCGCCTATCAGTGCCCATCAGTGCCACCTATCAGTGCCCATCAGTGCCACCTATCAGTGCCCATCAGTGCCACCTATCAGTGCCCATCAGTGCCCATCAGTGCTGCCTATCACTGCAGCCTCATCAGTGAAGGAGAAAAATTACCTGTTTGCAAAATTTTATAACAGAAACAAAGAAACTTTTTTTTTTCAAATGTTTTGCTCTTTTTTGGTTTATAGCGCAAAAAATAAAACACCCAGCAGCAATTAAATACCACCAAAAAAAAGCTCTATTTGTGAGAAAAAATTGATAAAAATTTCATATGAGAATAATGTTGCATGACCGCACAATTGTCAATCAAAGTGCGACGGCGCTGAAAGCTGAAAACTGGCATGGTAAGGAAGGGGGTACAAGTGCCCTGTAGGCAAGTGGTTATTTTAAAAAATTTGTAGTCTGTTTTTATTTTTTTTTTAAATATATAAAATATAAATAAAAACATAAAAATATATGTTTAGTCCTGGGCATGATAATGATAAAATAAAATGTAAAAAAAAAAAATAAAAATAAAAATAAACTAAAGTAAAATAAACTAAATTAAAATAAACTAAACTAAACTAAAATAATATAAAATAAAATAAAATATACTAAACTGAAATAAAATAAAATAAACTAAAATAAAATAAACTAAAATAAACTAAAATAAACTAAACTAAAATAAACTAAACTAAACTAAACTAAACTAAACTAAAATAAACTAAACTAAAAACTAAAACTAAACTAAAATAAACTAAATAAAATAAAATAAACTAAACTAAACTAAAATAAAATAAACTAAACTAAAATAAACTAAAATAAAATAAACTAAAATAAAACTAAAAATAAACTAAAATAAACTAAACTAAAATAAACTAAACTAAACTAAACTAAACTAAACTAAAATAAACTAAAAATAAAACAAAATAAACTAAACTAAAATAAATAAAATAAACTAAACTAAACTAAACTAAAATAAACTAAACTAAACTAAAATAAAATAAATAAAATAAACTAAAATAAAATAAACTAAACTAAACTAAATTAAAATAAACTAAACTAAACTAAACTAAAATAAAACTAAACTAAACTAAATTTAAATTAAAATAAACTAAACTAAACTAAAAAAAAAAAATAAACTAAACTAAACTAAACTAAAATAAACTAAACTAAACTAAAATAAAAAAAACTAAAACTAAAATAAACTAAACTAAACTAAACTAAAATAAAATAAAATAAAATAAACTACACTAAACTAAAAAATAAACTAAACTAAAACTAAACTAAAATAAACTAAACTAAAATAAACTAAAATAAACTAAACTAAACTAAACTAAAATAAAATAAAAAAATAAAATAATATAAAATAAACTAAACTAAAATAAACTAAACTAAACTAAACTAAACTAAAATAAAATAAAATAAACTAAACTAAACTAAAATAAACTAAACTAAACTAAAATAAAATAAAATAAACTAAAAAATAATATAAAAATAAACTAAACTAAAATAAAATAAACTAAACTAAAATAAACTGAAAAATAAAATAAAATAAAAAACTACAATACAGTCCCTTTAAAATGAAAATGTTATGTTGGGAGTTAGCAATGTTTTTTCCTCATAGATATACTCATTTTGCTGTACAGGAGGTTGCCTGGTGCCATTCTCCTCCATAGGTAGGACTCTAGTACACTATATTCCATTCTATTCTATTCTATGGTATTATATTATATTGCAGCACACCCTGAAAACTATAAAAAAGGATTACAGCTCAGGGATCCTCTGACAGCCTTTTAGCTCATTGAAGCGGATCAGCCGGGACATGTCCTACAAGCTTAAGCCCCCTTATTACCTACTTTCTCTTTTTATCTGCTCCCTTTGGATTTTTTTTTTTTTGCAAGTTAAATTTCATTATTTAGTGTTTCGTCATTTCTGCCTGGTTTGCAGAAATCACTTTTCTTATTTTCAAAGCGCATTTCCATAGAGCTTAGAGCTGTAAATAGACCAAAGAAGGGTAACAATAGGACAATGGAAGGAGAGGGACGCAGGAGCGATACAGCACAGGAATACAGCGCCATCAGCAGAAGGTGACGAGGCCTTTGTTCACGGGGGGAAATTGTGTGACCTGCTTTGCGCATGGAAAGGAGAGACAACTAATCCAACCAGGTCACCTAATTCCAGGGGCAGACTGACAACTCATGGGGCCCCCGGGCAATAGGCGATCATGGGGCCCCTGTGTCCTTGCCCAAACTCAAAAAAAGCCTATAAACAAGGTACCAGGGGCATCTCATGGAGCCCATTACTGACCCCGGGCCCTCGGGCAGTGCCCGAGTTTCCAAATGGTCAGTCCGCCCCTGCCTAATTCATATATTCTTTTTTATGAAAACCACTGGCCAGAAAAGGGAGGCGTGGCCTAAGCAGCCAATCAGATTTTAGCTGTTCTCCTTATAAGGATATAGTTGGGAAGCTCTGAATCCAATATTCTCTGAACTCTCCTGTAGAGGGCAGCATAATGTTCCCTGGCACCACAAAAGGGTGCTTACCTGGTGCAGCTGTGTATAGTAGCCAGGGGCGGACTGACCATTTGGGCACTCGGGCACTGCCCAAGGGCCCAGGGTCAGTAGAGGACCCCATGAGATGCCCCTGGTATCTTTCATAGGCTTTTTTTTGGGTGTGATTTGAGTGTGGGGGAGGCCACAGGTGCCCCATGATCCCCTATTGCCCAGGGGCCCCATGAGTTGTCAGTCCACCCCTAATAGTAGCCAATCGGCTTCTAACTTCAGCTTGTTCAATTAGGCTTTGGCAATAAAACCTGGAAGCTGATTGGTTTCTATGCAGAGCTGCACCAGATTTTGCACCAGGGGCGGACTGACAACTCATGGGGCCCCCGGGCAATAGGGGATCATGGGGCCCCTGTGTCCTTGCCCAAACTCAAAAAAGCCTATGAAAAAGGTACCAGGGGCATCTCATGGGCCCCCTACTGACCCTGGGCCCTCAGGCACTGCCTGAGTTTCCAAATGGTCAGTCCGCCCCTGTTTTGCACCCTCCAATTTTATTAAACAATCCCCTTTGTGTCCATTAAATCGTTTACATACTGCACTATTGGGTTCTGCTTGCACCATCTAGTGGCCATAATGCGGTATGTTCCTGACTGAGATATTTTAGAAAAATAGAGTTATGACCAATAGGCACGTGCGGTTTGTTTCAATCTGGATTGAAATTTGTTATGGGGTTTTTTGGTAAAAAAAAAGGCTAAAAACTGCTAAAAACTGCAAACGCAGAAAACCAAAAACGCGGGAAAAACCAAAAAACGCGGGAAAACACCGCTAATCGCTAATGCAAAAACGCTAAAAAAAGCTGAAAAGCTCAGTTTTTTAACATGACTTTACAGAGCTAACGTTACGAATGTTATCAAAACGCCCAGTGTGCATGTCGGAACGCTCTAACGCTGAAAAACGCAGTAAAACGCGGTAAAACGTGGTAAAATTCTGCAAACTGGTGTTTTTGGACTTTTTTGGGGATAAAAAAGTCCAAAAACACCAGTTTGTAGCATTTTACCACAAAAAAAAAAAACACTAAAAACTGCAAACGCAGAAAAACAAAGAAACATGGTGATAATCGCTAATGCAAAAACGCTAAAAAAAGCTGAAAAACACGTTTTTATCGCGACTTTACACAGCTAACATCACCGGCGTTATCAAAACCCGTGTGCATGAGGACCGTTAGCTTCTGAACACTGAAAAAACACTTTTTTCTACTTTTTTCACCACAAAAAAAATGTTTTGTTTGGTTAAATAAATGCTAAAAACCACAAATGTGGAATAACGCGGAAATACGCGTGAAAACATCACTAATCGTTAATGAAAAAGCGCTAAAAAAGCTGAAAATGTGACTACACAGCTAATGTTACCAGTGTAAACGCAAACCGGTGTTTTTGGACTTTTTTTTACCCCAAAAAAGTTTTTTTTTTATTTAAAAAACGCTAAAAACCACAAATGCTAAAAAACGCGGGAAAACGTTGCAAATCGCTAATGCAAAAACACTAAAAAAAGCTGAAAAACGCGACTTTACACAGCTAATGTTAACAGCGTTATCAAAACGCCCCGTGTGCGTGAGGACTTTTAGCTGTCAAAACACTCTAACGCTGAAAAAAAAAACGCAGTAAAACGCAGTAAAACACCGCAAACTGGCGTTTTTGGACTTTTTTTAAGCACAAAAAAATTGGTTTGGTTAAAAAAACCACAAGCATGGAAAAACGTGGGAAAACGTTGCTAATTGCTGATGCAAAAACGCTTACAAAAGCTGAAAAAACACGTTTTTAATGTGACTACACAGCTAATGTTACCAGTGTAACCGGTGTTTCGGAACTTTTTTTTACCCCAAAAAAGTTTTTTTTTTTTAATTTAAAAAATGCTAAAAACCACAAATGTGGAAAAACGCGGGAAAACTTTGCAAATCGCTAATGCAAAAACACTAAAAAATGCTGAACAACGCGACTTTACACAACTAATGTTAACAGCGTTATCAAAACCGGCGTTTTTGGACCTTTTTTCAACCACAAAAAAAAATTGGTTTGGTTAAAAAACCGCAAACGTGGGAAAACGTTACTAATCGCTAATGCAAAAACGCTTAAAAAAAGCTGAAAAAAACACGTTTTTAATGTGACTACACAGCTAATGTTACCAGTGTAAATGCAAACCTGAGTTTTTGGACTTTTTTTTACCAAAAAAAAATTTTTATTTGTAAAAAAAAGCTAAAAAACGCAAACGTGGAAAAACGCAGGAAAACACTGCTAATGCCAAAATGCAAAAAAAAAGCTGAAAAATTTACGTTTTTAATGTGACTATGCAGCGATTGTTACCAGTATAAAGGCAAAGCGGTGTTTTTGGACATTTTTTACCAAAAAATTTTTTTTTTTGCAAAAAAAACTAAAAACTGCAAACGTGGAAAAACGTGGAAAAAATGCCGCTAATTGCTAATGCGAAAACACAAAAACGTTTTTATTGCGACTTTACACAGCTAACATTACCAGCGTTATCAAAACATCCCGCGTGCGTGAGGACTTTTAGCTGTTGAAACGCTCTAACGCTGAAAAAAGCAGCAAAACGCTGTAAAACACTGCAAACCAGCGTTTTTGGACTTTTATTGACAACAAAAAAACACAAAAAAAACCCTTAAACTACAAACGTGGAAAAACGCGGGAAAACGGCGCCAATCACTAATGCAAACACGCTACAAAAAAGCTGAAAGACTCTTACTTTTAACGTGACTACACAGCCGGTGTAAATGCCCCGTGTGCATGAGGACTTTTAGCTGTAAAAACGCTCTAACGCGAAAAACGCACCACGCACCAAAACGCGGTAAAATGCTGCAAACTGGCGGTTTTCAACTTTTTTGAACAAAAAACGTTTTTTTTTTTTGATAAAAAAATGCTGCAAATCGTAAATCCGAAAAAACATGGGAAAACTTTTTTTTTGGTAAAACAACCACTAAAACCCGCAAGCATGGAAAAATGCGGGAAAACGCCACTAGACGCTAATGCCAAGACGCTAAAAAAAGCTGAAAACCGCACGTTTTTAGCGCGACTTTCCGCAGCTGACGTTTCCAGCGTTGTCAGAACGTCCCGCGTACGTGAGGACTTAGACGCACAGTAGGGTGGAAGCTTTGCGGACGTCAGCGGGGCCGCCGATCCGACAAGCCACTGCGACATTTAATGCGAGCGCGGTGACCTGCATCTAGAGCGCCGCCATCTATTAAGGACGAACGAGCGTATAAATTGCTTCCAATGAGGACGATTCCAGGTGAGGGAAACCATTAATTTTGGCGTTTGACAACACGGCGCTGCCAAGTCCCAATCCCCGTAATTATACGGAATCGCCGTGTTTTTATTTATGTATCTTTATGACCTTGGCGTGAAGTCGCGTCCCTCGCGCTCGATGCCGCAGCCGGATGATGATTAAAGATGAGCGCTGAGGACCTCGGCTTGACAGCTGCGAGGATGATCCGGAATACTGATCCCACCGCTGTTTGTATTACGCCGCTGAACAAAGCTCTGACCGTTTGTAATGTGGCGCGGCGTGCCCTTGTCACCGCCATCCGGGGGATGGGGGAGGGGAGGGGACTGCCGGGGGTTGCTGTGGGCGGCTGAGAGAACTCCAGGTGAACGCAAAACCCGGGGACTCATATTTGATGCGGAGAACTCTTTGAGTCCAGTATTGTTTTTTTTGGAAGCCAAAATAGTAAACAAAGCACTGTGCAGGGTACATGAGGAGCTGCGGGCTGCAGAATAGCCATTACACACAATGCAGGGTTGAGATTGAACAGCGGCACCTCTTAGGGGGTTCTGGGGTGGGCTGTGCCCCCTCCCCAGTTTTAATTGTGCTCCTCCAGAACTCTGACAATGCATCCACTGATTCATGAGACACTCTGATGCAAAAAGCTGATGTAAGGGGGCACTCTGATGGGGACACCTGATGTAAGGGGGCACTCTGATGGGGTCACTTGATGTAAGGGGGCACTCTGATAGGCATACCTGATGTAAGGGGGCACTCTGATAGGCATACCTGATGTAAGGGGGCACTCTGATAGGCATACCTGATGTAAGGGGGCACTCTGATGGGGACACCTGATGTAAGGGGGCACTCTGATGGGGACACCTGATGTAAGGGGGCACTCTGTTGGGGACAGCTGATGTAAGGGTTCACTCTGATGGGGTCACCTGATGTAAGGGAGCACTCTGATGGGGTCACTTGATGTAAGGGGGCCCTCTGATGGGGACACCTGATGTAAGGGGGCCCACTGATAGGGACACCTGATGTAAGGGGGCCCACTGATAGGGACACCTGATGTAAGGGGGCACACTGATGGGGACACCTGATGTAAGGGGGAATTCTGATGGGGACACTTGATGTAAGGGGGCACTCTGATGGGGATACCTGATGTAAGGGGGCACTCTGATGGGGACACTTGGTGCAAGGGGGGCACTCCGATGGGGATATTTGATGTAAGGGGGCACTCTGACGGTGACACTTGATGTAAAGGGGAATTCTGATGGAGATACCTGATGTAAGGGGGCACTCTGATGGGGACAGCTGATGTAAGGGGGCACTCTGATGGGGACAGCTGATGTAAGGGGGCACTCTGATGGGGACAGCTGATGTAAGGGGGCACTCTGATGGGGACACTTGATGTAAGGGGGCACTCTGATGGGGACACTTGATGTAAGGGGGCACTCTGATGGGGACACTTGATGTAAGGGGGCACTCTGATGGGGACACTTGATGTAAGGGGGCACTCTGATGGGGACACTTGATGTAAGGGGGCACTCTGATGGGGACACTTGATAAAAGGGGGCACTCTGATGGGGACACTTGATAAAATTCTGATGGGGCCACCTGATGTAAGGGGGCACTTGATGGGGACACTTGATGCAAGGGGGGAATTCTGATGGGGATACCTGATGTAAGGGGGCACTCTGACGGTGACACTTGATGCAAGGGGGGCATTCTGATGGGGATATTTGATGTAAGGGGGCACTCTGACGGGGACACTTGATGTAAGGGGGAATTCTGATGGAGATACCTGATGTAAGGGGCACTCTGATGGGGACAGCTGATGTAAGGGGCACTCTGATGGGGATATTTGATGTAAGGGGGCACTCTGAAGGGGATATTTGATGTAAGGGGGCACTCTGATGGGGATAATTGATCATATGTAAGGGGACTCTCTGGGTGATCTCTGTACATTGCAGGGATTTTAACAAACTTTGTTGCAGATTCCTCCCTTTTGTTACTCTGAAGAAATGTCTGTTTGTTTCTCTGTGTCCTGTGCAGAGTGAGTGTGAATGGGAGCGACTTTATAATGATCGATCAGCTGCTGCAGCTGCAGGGCTCTAATGAGGAAAGCAGCGGGGTCTGCATCCCTTTAGACAGGATTTCTCTTTGAGAGTATCTCACCAAAAATGACATATTTGCGGGGGATGGCCAAAATCTGACTTGTATCTTAGTGCAGACTTCTGGGAAATCAGTGAGCCAATCACACACGCCGGAAATGACATGTCCGGGGGGCGCTCTGCATACCATCTGTGTACAGAACACCTCCAGGCGGCCATATTGTATTTTACAGAAAATTACAACTCTGCAGATTGAAAAGAAAAGGGAATTTTTAATAACATTCAGTTATGACAAGCGTAGAAATTGTATACGTTATATATATATATATATATTTTTTTTTTAATTTGAATTTTTTTTTTTCCCATGAAAGTGGAGTCACCCTTTAAAATTTGACCAGCAAACAGCCTCTTGCAGTCCCAGCAGGGCTGAAGTGTGAGAGAAAGTAGCAGCGTGAATGCCGGCCATATACATGGGTCGAAATTCGACTGATTTCGACCTAAGAATAATCGGACGATTTTCACTCTGTCAGTGGGGTCAATGGCGACGGCCAACATTCGCTCTGTTAGTGGGGTCAATGGCACCGGACGATTTTTGCTCAGGTCAATGGCATTTTCGCTCTGTTAGTGGGGTCAATGGCGACGGCCGACTTTCGCTCTGTTAGTGGGGTCAATGGCGACGGCCAACATTTTCGCTCTGTTAGTGGGGTCAATGGCGACGGCCGACTTTCGCTCTGTTAGTAGGTCAATGGCACCGGATGATTTTCGCTCTGTTAGTGGGGTCAATGGCGACGGCCGACTTTCGCTCTGTTAGTGGGGTCAATGGCGACGGCCGACTTTCGCTCTGTTAGTGGGGTCAATGGCAACGGCCGACTTTCGCTCTGTTAGTGGGGTCAATGGCACCAGACGATTTTCGTGGTTCCTCCCCTTTTCGGTGATGGGGCATGTTGGAAAATTTGTGAAAAACAACCGATTTTTGACACAATGATGGTCAAATCGTACGATCGTTTTTTAGAAAAGAATACACGCATGAGCCGTGACCTGGAAGGAACAAAGTTTCGCCTGTTATATGGGGTGAACTTTATGACTCGGCCGGCTGATTTTGGAAAATCATTGATGGCGCCATCGGATTACCGAGCGATTTTTGGAAGAAAAACCGTTCGGAATTTGACCCATGGCCTGCATTGGAGCCAGTCAGTCCTTGCGTTGACAAGATGCATGCTGATAGGAGGAGAGAGAAGAGTGATTTAGAGATGATCTTATCACCGTGCTGCTTATCCTTTGGCTGTCCAGTCATAGGATAGGGGCGGGTCCAGGACGACCTGTTCTCAGAGGAAAGGCTTGGCATGGGACCAGAGCAGCCCTTAAGTATGACTGAGCCTGCTCACCAGCAGGAGAGTTTGGGTGGAAGATGTGAGGAAGCTGACATGCAGGAGCCTGGGAAGGGCCCGGTGGGAAGGGTCCTACCTACAGGCAGGAAGCTGGAAGCTGGTTCTCAGAGGGTTGAATGATGGTGGCCTTCAGACTGAGGACATCTAGTGGCAAAAAAATATATTGCAGATGGGAATCTCAGAATTGAAAATAAAAATTGTAAGGGGAGTGCATTTGGATTTCTCTGATAAAATATAAATGCTATTTCGATATCTAGGGTTCTCTATCTTCAAAAGCCCCCAAAATGGTGTTCAGAGCAGAGTGAGCACCAAACCATGGGGGGGGGGGGGAGGGGGGGCTACTAATTTTGGCCATATCAGTTTGGCAATCTGCACAAATCACTGAGAATTGGCCGATATCGATGGAGCAGATATTTCACTCCGCTCGTCTCACGCTGGATGGTAACACAGGCAGAGCCGTAACCTGTTTATGCCGCTGTCAGGATGATGGATTGGCATCAACACGTCTCCTAATTGTTGGGAAATGGGTCGGAACATTGAAATCATTTGGTTTATTCACAAAAATGAAGACATCAGCAAACAGAAACAGCTGAACGTGTCTCCTCCTCAAGGCCAGATGTCCGCTGCTCATTGCTGGGCGCCACGCTTTTTTTTATCAGGCTTTGGAGAGCACCCGATTAGACTGCAACCAAGTGTGTGTAACGCCCTCCTAGTTAGCTAGGGGGAGCTAGAGTCCTGATTGTTAGAGAGGAGGAACTAGGTGTAATAGTCAGGAGGTCAAATTGTGGTCAGGGCTGAAAGGCTGTGCAGGATGGCCCCTCTAGAATTTCCCCCTGCTCTAGAGTTTTGGAGGAAGGTCTAGAGGCAGTGGGTGGATCTGAGGAGTGGCTGGCTTGTACTCTTGAGGGATTCTGGCCAATCCCCAAGCAGGAGGCTTGGCATGGGACCAGAGCAGCCCTTAAGTATGACTCAGCCTGCTCACCAGCAGGAGAGTTCGGGTGGAAGATGTGAGGGAGTTGACAAGTAGGAGCCTGGGAGGGGGCCCAGTGGGAAGAGTCCTACCTACAGGCAGGAAACTGGAAAGGAGGATCGCTCAGCCTCACCGGCACCCAGACTGGGGACCACCTGAAGAGCCAGGAAAGAGGCCAGCACAGCAGAAGGCCTGAATGCAGCCACCTACCTACACCAGCTCACAAAAGAGAGACTGAGTGAGTAGTCCTACACCCCCTAGGCCAGGTAAAGGGAAAAGAGTATTCTGGTTGGATACCTGAGATCCTTGTCCCTTAAGTATACAGATCAGCCCTTCCTCACCCCTGCCCACTGCTTTTAGAATCTTCTCCAAGATTCTAGAGCAGAGGGAGGTATCAAGGCACTGATCTGCAGAGCCTCTCGGCCCTGACTTAATCTTGACCCCTCTAACTTAGACCCAGGCTGCTAATCAGCCTCTCTGACTAAAATACCTAACTAGCTTCTCCTAGCTGCCTAGGAAGGGGCCACAAGGACCCTTGGAAATAAGTCAATAGACTCCTGCCATGCTTCCATCTTCTGCTCTTATCCTCCGAAGCCTTCAACTGGCAGTTTTGGCCGCCCATCTCGTTAAATGACCAACAGGGTGGCACAGATCCAGAGAGCTACGGGGGTTATCTTCTCTAAGATTTGAGGATCCTGAAGTGCAAAGAGGATTGCTCGAGGATGCAGCTGAGGTTAAGGAAGCACTCCGACTGGAACTGCAACATCTGGGTATGTGGCTTGCTGGAACACACCGTGACAACCAGAGCTGATATAATGGATAGCCAGGACAAGCACTCGGCAGGACCGTAGAGCCAAACTGGAGCCGGAAGAGTAGTCAGAGTAATATCCAGGGTAAGCAACGAGCAGGCGATGAGGTACCAGAACAATAGACAGGGACAAGGTCAGGAGGAAGCCAGGATCAGAAACGGATGAGCAGAAGCATGAACAGAATCCAAGAGCAGGTCAATGGCATGCCGGGTCGGTAACGGATACAAACCGGATACAGCAGAACACAGGGATTTAGCTGAAGACCAGTCAGCACTGACAGAAAGTAAGAGCCTCCTTTAAATAGTCCGTCTGGCACCAGAAACTGTGGGCGCACTCCTGCGTGCGTGCATTCTTGCATGCACGTGCGACTCCATGCTCATTTTCATTAGCACTGCACCCTTGCTCATTTCTAGGCGCGATGTTGCATGCATGCGCATTTCTATGCACCAGTCGCCGTCCAGGAATTCCCTTACGCAGAGGGTCTCCACAGTCTCCCCGGCTTGTAGTGTATTGTGAGAAGAGTTGAAATCGAAGCTCCACACCACTGTTACGAGGTCCAGATACAACTTTTTTCCATTAAAAGTCAGGGGCAGCAGCCAACGCATTTCGGGGGTCCAAGTGCCCCCTTCATCCGGGCTTGACTGGCAATAAAGTGAACAGATCAGAAGTGAACTGGACCTACGATGGTATTTATTCCAGTGTCAAGGCCTAATCAGCAGCTTGTTTGGCCATTGTGGGTGCCAGTCAAGCCTTGATGAAGGGGGCGCTTGAATCCCCTGGATACGGCTCAAAATGATACCCCTGACTTTTAATGGAATAAAGTTGTATCTGGACCTCTGAACAGTGGTGTGGCGCTTCAACTTCAGCTCTTCTTACAATTGAATATCCATGACAGCCAGGGAACTAGTATTTTCACAATCCATTCTTCCTCACTATGGGCTTCCTTTAGGGGCAAGGAATACGTTTTCCACTTGCGCCAGCACCTTGGATTTTCTTGCTATTACTCTTTAGAGATTCTCTAATTTCTCACACCAACTGTCATTGTATAAAATTAATTTAAATCACATGTGCTGTTTTCTACCCCCGTTGAGAAATTGATTTTCCTTTGCACCCCTCGCTGTGTACAGCACAAATGAAAATTACTTTTTCCCAGGAGGCTGTCAACAAATGTAGCTTCACAGAGCTTCTTCCTGGCTGGGGGACACAAACACAATAATATAAGTAGTTATGTTGGGATAATAGATTTGTGAATGTAGCAA